TAAAAGCATTATCACAAAAAGTCTGAATGGCCAAAAATAAGGATGAAATTTAATGAAAATTTTACAAAATGTGAAAATATTTGCATTAAATTTTGGGTGGGAAAAATATCTGGCACTCAAAGGGTTGAAAACTTGGTGTTTACCAGATCTCAGTCATATAGTTTGGTTGTCTGTTTTGATGGGAACACTCATCGAAAAACAATTTGACAAACCTGGCTGTCCATTGAACAATACAAAACAAAATATCTATTTAGTGAACAATATAATCGCCAATACTAACCTGATAAAATGCTTAGATCTTCTGAGACTATCTCGGACAATAGATAAGGACTCCTTGGAGAGTGCTTTCCGACCCTTAGCCCTCTTCCCCTTACGGGGTGAGCACGCACAACTAGTTTTGTTTCCAATCTTGGATGATGTATCACAAACCTTGCATGAAGATAATACAAATTCCCAACAGCGACAGCACACAAGTTAGAAGCTGAAGCATACAGTTCTAACTGCTCTTGTATGTATTCGAAAAAATTCTCAGGAACGGTGACTGATATGACAAGGATCCGTAATCTTCCCGTCAACGACACCTACTTAATCTCAAAGTCTCACCAAAATTAATCAGATCATGGCATGATATTCCAATTCATGGAAACGAAAAGTAAAAAAAAACATCTGTTGTACAAATTTTCAATTATTATAACATCATTAATATCCCTGTTGAGTGCTGCAATAGTATATCTACGATTCCTACTCTGTCGAGGTCAACTGAGTTCAATTCTCTTGAGGGTAAACTCCCATGCGAGTACTTGACTTGCCCAGAATGTCTTCGATATTTGAGGAGTATGTAATCTCAGTGGGTATATCCTGTAATACATAAACAGATGGGAATTAAATATACATGTAGAAACAACTCACTGCTGTAATACAATCTAATGTCTATTACAAATCACTGATTTAATAATCGTATACAGAACATTTTACGCAACTCTGAGAAACAGATTTTTTTATCTGTCATATCATATTTGCACTATTCGTAGTTCACACGCTTATGTACTACAGTCTGTTTACTCGTATATTTTAACCAATCAAGCATTTTTTTTATTCCCAAATGTCTTGTTTCAAAAAAAAATAGAGAAACATAAAGCTGTATTTTGATAAACAATAAATAGACGAGACCTCGTCGAGAGGGAGAACCAGCAAATTGTTTTGATTCATTAAATAGACTTCTCTCCCGTTGACTGCATCCACTGTTTTATTGATTTAAGTTTATACCATATTATTTAGAATTGTAAATGCAATGATGGGAGTGAATCAAACACTTTTCAATGAGCTAAAACGAGTTGCGTGGTTATTAAAATTTGCGAGTTTTTGACAAGGCAAGGTAAGTACCGTAAACTGTTTTTGTAATCATAGATACGAAACTGAAAAATTATTGCATTACAGTACTCTTAGACAGGTGCAAGCAAATTAATAAGGTTAGTTTTTTATTCAACAATATTAACCCTATAACATCCTCATTTTGTGCAGTGTATAATCAGATAAAAGCAGAATAGTAGTACAAAGTATGCATAAAATACATGTATATGACCTCAGATGTATGCAGTGAATTTGTAACACCCAGGGTGTGATATGGGTGGTGGTTTATGGAAATATTACTTTCTAATTTGACTCATTGAAAAGCATGTTAAATATTCCAGCACATCGGGGTATCAATAGGAATGTATAAATTACTCATGGTGATATTGTTTATTTGTAACAGAATCAGTTGGGTGATTCAAAGATAACAATATCAGAAAATAGTTTTTATCAATTTTTTTGCAAAATGTGTTAGGACTAGCACTAGCAATTTGCATATACAAAAAAATGGCAGGAGAGACAACAGTGACATTCAATGTCCAGAAACATTATTTTAAAAAAAACAAAAAAAAAAAAAAAAAAAACACAGTTTTTATCAATTTTTCTATGTATTACCATGTTTTAAAAGGATGTGGTCATGTGGCCTGTTCAATAATGGGTCAAAAAAAGAAATCATAGAAGTTAATTCAAAAGGAAAATGGCACACAGATTGATTTCAGTCTAATTTGTATCACCCATCTATC